GATAGCATACTGGTTTCATAAATGCAGCAAAGGACATTAAAACTACTCACAAGTGTCACCACAAATTCCTGTTATTCCAGTTTTAGGGGCCAAATGTTAGTAACACTGAATAGATAACATAATACAGAAACCATACATTTGCTTGTTAATAATTGCATGGGGAAAAATAAAGATATGTTGTGCTGGCCACCTGTTTTTTAAAACACCATCAACTCTTACATTTCCTTATTCTAGGCATAATGTAATAGTACACATCATACTAAATATAGCTATTTATGGTTTAAAATCTAGATTTACGATGCAGTTGTAGGATAAAAAATTGACAGCATATTTGTAAAGATATTCATATTATGCTAATTCTCAGCAGGTCCTCATGGCTAATATAGAGCCACAGACCTCTGAAGTATATCTGAATAAATAAATGTGACTGAACAAACAAGGATACAGAAAAAGAAGGTCTGCATCTTTGGTATGTACAGTAAAAGGAAGTGGTTGATAAAAATCAAATGAAGGAAGCAGAAGTGATCCGTTTACAGTTATAGAGTACGTTACAGTGAAAGAGCATGTATGTGCTACAAAGTAATGCCAACGGAAAATTTTAATTTAACAGAATACATGTACATATATAGTCACTTATTCCCATCCCTTTCTTCTCTCAAGTACTTACAACAATTGAAGCTCGAAGAGGTGAGTTGATTGGCAGGTAGAGAGTTGAGTAAAATGTATGATCAGGTAGTTCTCTGGTTTTACACTTAGGAGCCAGATGAGTGAATGGATCACTTGGTAATCTAGCGCAGTACCTAAAATTTGGAAAAAAGTAAAACAAAACAAAAAGCCATGAGAACCTAATCACACTAAATTTGAACACAAAATCTTGTATACATCTCCCCCCCGCCCCACACACATGGGAATCTCACCTCACTGATTTAAAAGGTATGGAAAATGTTAGTCTTTGACTGTCCCAATATTAATATTTACTAAAGTAAAATGATTTAAGTATATTTATCCATTACACATTTTAAAGCAAGACAGCAGAATCCCTTAAACTACCAGTAATTTGAATGTTAGGACTTGGAACAGTTTATGCAGCTTATTTCAGGCCATTGATAGGCATTCACTTTAGTGGGTAAGAATTTCTGTGAAATGCCTAGTGCTAGGAAAATAGTCCAGGATTTGGTGTTTACATGCATTCCACACCTTTGGTCGGAGAGCTACAAAAGGAGAACGCTCTAGCCAGAGGGTGCTAGTCAGCTCCTTAGGTTACCTCCCCTGCCCTTTGGGGAGCTCATTGTTTGATAGCCTGCCCTCTTCCCTGCTGGAGAAGGAGTCAGGCTATCAACACGCAGTTTTACAGCCAAAGGTTTGGGAAAGCGTGGCTGAAGAGATGGCATAGAGCCAAAGTAGAAAACACATTGTTAAAGGGAAATTCACAGTGCCACAGCCTATTCCGTCCTTTTTGTGCTACTGAATGGACAGCTGTTGCATATATAAAGGCATTAAATTAAAAGGAAAGAAAGTGAACATTCCCCCTACCTATTGATGTGTCCAATAGCAGTGTTAATTGTGACTCTTGGACTGTTCTCATCCGGCCTCAAGACATATGGTGGAAAGACATCATCATCATCCACAATGGGTTCCGTTTCAGTTTCGCTACTATCAACAGACTTTGAGCATTTGTTTCTCAGGATCTTAGCATTTTAAAAGAAAAGATCACAAGAGAAAGAGAACATATTTTAATCCTAATCTAAACCACAGTTAATAAAGAAAAGGTATTTTCTTCTGGCTTCATACCTTCTCAATAGCTTTGTAGGTTTTCAGATCTTCTTCAAAACTTTTGATTTTATCTGTGTCTGCTAACATGATGTAATTTGAGATTGGTGCCCTGGCTCTTCCTTTGGACTGCACGTAAGAACGGTATTCTGTGGGCAAATCAAAACGAACCACCAAGTTGCATTTTGGTATGTCAACACCCTCTTCTACAATACTAGTAGCAATAAGTAAGTTGGTCTCGTGTGCTCGAAATTTTCTAAGTACCTATAAAAGCAACCAAGAAAAGAACATTAAGAGAAAAGTTCAGTATATTTGTTAGGCATGACAATTCATTAAAAACCAAAAGTAATAAAAAAATGCAAAGGGATGGAACCTTTGTTGTTTGTCATTACAAATAAATAAAGGCAGAAGTACAGCTTTCCACCAAAATAAACAATAGAAAATCATTTTACAGCGCTTATGGCAAGAACATTTCATCAGAAGAGGCAGTTGACTTCCTATGAATTAAATTATAAACATAGGACTATATGTACCTAAAACAACGTGAGGATGTTTAACAACAGAGAAGAACCCACCTCCTTAAAACTTTATACATTTTTTTGGTTGTGCTGAAACTATCCTGTCTTTAGGATAAATCTAAAGTCCTTAATTTAAGAATAACCAATCAGCATTTCTGATGCTGCACCATGACTCTCAAAACAACAGATTCTAGAAGTAGCTTGCCAATATTAACGTTTTAATTATGTAAGTTTAAGAAATGCTTTTAGAGAACCTGCTAAAGAACATAAGATGTATGTAAAGAAACTAAAGCAAGAAATTCACACTAAAGTACTTTTGCAGCGTTAACTGTGATGTTAGAGTATAGTGTAACATTCTAGAAAAGGAATCCAAAATAAATCTAGTTAACTGAAAAGACTAATACAAGAAGCTAGAGTATACCAAGCAAAACAGCTCCCAAGCTGCTCATAAAACAGAAAAATACTTGCTGCTCTCTATGTAGTTTAAAGGCCACTTTTTAAAATTTAATTTGTGATTAAACAGTTGCCAAAAGTATTTATAGATATACATGGTCAGTTTATACACTAATTGCTGCTTTCAAGAGATTCAGTTGATTATTTGTTAAACGACAAGTTCAGCTTTCCTTTCTCAATATTTCCTTGTCATCAAAAACATTAATTCTCAGACTTTTAGTTTCTGCTGCCTACCTCCAGCCCCCAAAGCAGCCCACATCTGCCACCATCTGACCAACTGGTCCACAGCCAACCTCTTCCTCCAACACCTGCACAGCTCCACCTGCCTACTGACAGCCAGCCTCCCTCCCCAACTTCTTCCCCCACAATTCTGCAGACACCTAAGCTTAGTCTCCACATTCCAGCCCTAGAATGGAGGAAGAATTGTTATGTTTGCATAGTAATGTGCCTGGGATAATTTAATCAGTTCTGCCCATCTGCAAAGCCTCACTAAGACATCTTTCCTGCTTCCCATTCAAGAGGCAACACGTACAGTGCACATCCTTCATCTCAGCAGAACACCACCTGATGCCATGGGTATTAGACGGAAGGGGTCAGCTAGCCCACCTTTGCATCTGCACTTGCTGCCCACCTGCAGCAACATGGTTGAGAACCCATGACCTAAAAAACACTTTTAATACTCAATTCTTCAACTCAACATTCAAGTCCTTAAGTTACGCCAGCTACGTCAAAGACATTATTTTTTAAAAAAATCATCAACTTTAAATAAACTGGCTACTAAATCATTTAGTCTCTGTTAACAACTGACCTACCCTCTCTCTGTTTTTTTGATTAGATTTACAAGACCCCCTTCCCAAAAGAGCCTCAGAGTGGCTTACAGTAAAACCTAGATAAATTATAAGGGCAGTGAAATATTAAAATGAAATATTTAGTAGAACAAACCAGGGACGATCCCAGGGATGGAGGTGGTGCAGCCTCACCTCCCCTTTGGCCATGTGTTACGTATTCAGTGAGCTCTCTGAGCTCCCTGGCATGTCAGCACAGCTTCTCCTGGAACTGTGAGCTCATTACTGATCAACACGGGCTCTGGCTGCAGCTATATGAAAGCAGGGACTCCAGCCAGAGCCTGCACTGACCAGCTGTTGAGCTCAGAAACCAGAGCGTACGTGAAGCTCCAGTAGGAGCTGCACTGACATGCCGATGACCCACACTACCAAATCAGGTGTGGCCATGCCACCCTTGCTGCAAAGCCTAAACCAAGTCTTGTAAAATACAGAATAATGCAACAACGTCTCGCCATGCATACAACCCACATAAATGCACCACAGAATAACATTATTAAGGATCCTGGCCATTAATATACAGAAACAAAAGCAAACTTAAAATTAGTCACTTAACCCAATAATTTAACAAATAGGGATTCAAGACAGTGACAACATTCTGTTTGTATAACTTAAGTATCAAGTTAAAATGTTTCTATTAAAGTCTTACTTAAAAAAAATTAAATAAGGTAACAGTATCAAAGTATATAAACTAGATATTATGAGGGTTGAGGTACAATCATAGCATTTATAGTGGGCTTCATGAACTGGCAATGCAAAAATGTAGTTCTGAAAGTAATTTTTACCCAAGGGACTCAAAGTGAACACCAAGACCACAGGTTTTCATTCTACAGGAAGCTCAATGTAAATCTGTGCTAATGATCAGCACAAACTGTTAGGACAGAAGGTACACTAAAGCTTAATATTCTAAACAGCAACCAGGAAATCCAAGAAATTTTTTTATCTGAAAATAGTAATATACCGCTGTTAATCCACTGGAGGAGAATTAGAAGGTTGATGATGTGACAAGAAGAGAAACTGGTTTTAAAGACCACTTTAACGTCTATCCATTGTGTAAGCCGACAAAGCAATTTCTCTACACAGATGTCTTTTTTTTTTTTTTTGGAAAGAACATCTGCATCCCAAATGTGTGCGCAGATTTGTCAAGTCAGGGTAACTCTTGGGCTTCCAGGAGTTATCGCAGACACAGATTTTTCCTGCAAATGAAATGATTATGACGGTAGTGCTAATTTCTTATTTTCAATTAAGTTACCTCTTCCTGTTTTCTGAATTCCACTTCCATCTGTTTGTTACGGGGTTGATTCTTTCCAATGCCATGTCCAGTTATAAAATTGCTGCTGATGTAGGCCAGCTCTGGATCTTGTTTACCTGCTTCCTTTATTAATCTAAAAATATCACACACATTTTACAAGTCACACTCAGTTGAGAAAGGAAAGTGGGTTTTTTGTTTTAAGACCTGCATTCAAAGTGGAAATTTCATAATCAAGTATTTCTCGAAATATAAACAAAATGGCCACACTGTTCTTTTTTAAAAATGTAACTTTAAGGGGAAAACTGCTGCAAAGATGACAAAAGTGTAGAAAAAAATGTAGGAGTGTTTATGTGCTATATGAGATTTAAAGTGTTAGAATTATGTACCAATAGGCCAAGATTTTCAAAAGCAACTGGTGATGCAGGTGTTCTTCAAATTTCTAGGTATTCATTTTCATACATTTCAAAAAGATTTCCACTTAAACATCATAATAGTGACATCTGTAGAGGAGTTGAAGGCTAGACTGAACCCAGGATCTCAGGATCTAAAATAAGCCTTTACTGTCTATGCTACAAGACCCAGGGCCCCGTTAGCTCAAAAGCTGTACAGACTCATAAGCCTCAGTGGGCTTCAGTGGGTCTTGTCACTGAAGCGAGACAGAGTGCCACACTAAGTAAGCATGGAGTATACCTGAACAATTTGAGACGTACAATGTTTAGTTTCCTATTATGTACGACTTTCCTACTCCATCAAGCCATACAGGCCTATCAAAGATTGTTAAAGTCTAGATACCTTTTAACCGGTTTTCTAACAATAAGCCCATAAAACCTGAAAGCATCTTACTTAGAACAAAAATAATGATCTCAAAATACAGCATTTAATTTTGATAGCCAAGATCTTTCCTGAAAAATTAATAATACTCTTTATTTCAACTATAAAATAATGCATTATATGCCTACACATCTTCATATAAAGCAGCAAGATAAGCAGAAAAAAACTAAAATAATTCTTCTTACACAGAAGTGCATTTTCTCCCATTTCCCTGAGATGTGCAATTCAAAACAAGTTAAAAAATACCTCCAGCAATTAGTAACTTTAACATGCATCTAATGGTTTATGATGCACGTGAATTATGTCTTTAGCATTTTCCACCTACTAATTACAAATGCAGAGTCTATTAAAATGAATTATGCGGTCAGGCAATTCTTTGGTAAAGAGAGATTTTACTCATAAAATGAAAGGGAAGCAAGCAGGGCTTTTTAAGAATGGCAAACATTTCCTAAAAAGGAGCTTACAATAACAAGAACTCCACTGTATAGTTTTAATTAGGTGGCTATGAAGGAAACCTCAAAATAACCTGACAGAAAGGTCAAATGGGATATTCAGGAAATAAGCAAGTTAAAACACTTTGATCATTACTATGTGTAGTAGTACAGCCTACAGCAAGGGTGGCCAACTTATGGCACATGTGTGACTAGTGGTACAAGCAGCCTCTGTGCAGCATGCAGCAAATTGGGTGGGGGGGGCAGGGAGCAGAAAGTAGAGTGGAAGTTCAGGCAGGAGAATGGGATCAAAAGTGGAATTTGAAAGGAGTGCAGGGCTTCAACTTGTGGCAAGCCTGCCAAAAAGGTTGATCCCTGCTTGTAGCATATGTGCTACTTTAAGAAAAGTAGTACAATGGGTCTATAGTGCATTACCTTTAAGCTTGCTGTAGATATTTACATTTTCTGCTGGAACTGAAGGATGGGGTCTTGACTAATAAGGCCCAAAATGTTTTGGGACCACCTAATTTGGGAGGTTTGCCTTTCTCCTTGTGCCCTACAGCAGTGATTATATAAGAGCAGGCCAGTGATCTGAGGCTTCTCCACTTAAGGGAAAAGAAGCTTGCAGAGTATTCCCCATGAAAGGCCTTCTGCCCTTTCTGGGTCTCCTGGTCTTCCATCTTTTAAGAGCTGTAGTAAAGAAGATTGGGTTTGCAAACTATTTGGAAGAGCTTGATGCTGACTTTCTCCAGGCTGAAGAGTTTTGGGGGGAAGTCACCTTTTGGAATGGGAATTAAATGTCTGATACTAGTTTTCTGTTCTACACCCTATAACTTACATCAGGGGTACCTAGAATCCCTAATGGAATATTCCATTTCAAACGCGGTCGATTTCTAATTATGAGGTTTTAAAAAATATTAAAAAAAACATTAAGCATCAGCCTATACTCAATTTTACTGGGAAGCCCAACTTGAATCCAGTAATGCGTTAACAAGTACATGCACACTACAGAGTGCAATAAAAGGCAGAGAAAACGGATTTGAACCACTAAAATTGCATGTGTGAAAATGTATGCTTCAAAGGAAACGTATTAAAACATGTATTCCTATACACCAAATATAGGATATTCCATTTTGTCTTCAGAAAAGGGAAACCACAGACCCAGAACATTTAAGTGACAATGAAAATAAGCTATGGGTAATTAAAAACAAACAGCAGGGTCTAAAAAGATGTGGGAAATGTAATAGCTGAATTACAACTTTGTTCATATTTGTACATATTCATTTGATTTCCTGCACTGATTTGTGTGTCAACATAATTCTAAAAAAAAACAAAAACAAACTGAGTACCTTTTCCAAAATACAACACTTCTCTTCCTCAAGATCTGTGACATTAATGTACCCTCCACTCTTCTCAATGTTAGATCAATACTGTTATTTTTAAAGTTTTACCTGTTCAGGACAACTGCTGTGTATCTTCTTTCCACAAAAATAATTCCACATAAAATATTAGTAAAGGGAGAAGGAAAGTTTGTTTCTGGCTTTTCTTTCTCCTCAATTTCTTCATCCTCATCATCATCTTCAGAATCACTCCAAGAAACATAATTATCTTGATTCCTATTGTTATACCACTCAACACTTTCAAACTGCTGCCGTTCATATGGTTTATATTTGCGCAATATTTCAAGCAGTTTTATTACTTTTGGGGTAACGAATTTCAGGTCAAGCGAGGCAGGTGAGAAGTGCTCTTCACAGAGTGCATGTATTTTCCTTAGGAAAGTGTCTGTAAACAATAAAAATTTCCTGTGCAGCTCCTCCTGCTCATGTTTAATATATTTCTGTAGCTCTCTCACCATCATTCCAGCTACCTTATCTGCACACCAGGGTCCCAGAACAACCAATACAGCTCGGCAGTCTGACAGTATCTACAATAAATGAATTCAAATGTTAGTAAACTGCAATGTACCATGCTGAACCTAAGACAAGGTACAGACATCGCATGTTTACTAGTACTGTATCAGTGATCAGAAACCATTCTATATCCATAACAGAACAGAAGTTCGGCACACACAGGCTGGTTTAAAAATGGCAGAACCTGGTCTAGATTTGTGCCCCCCCACTCTTCCCAAAAGGCAAATGTGTGTTCCATTTGCTACCAATCCAAGCTACACTGCTGACAGAAAACCATGTAACCTACATGAATTACACCTCAGGCTTTTTGAATGCCTGTACCTAGCCTAAGCATATGTTGGGCTTTCATTTCTCACATGACGATGATCTGCTCTGTAAGCATAATAGTGTTGGGTTTCTTTGCAAAGAAGATCTCTCTACTTGCATTTTAGAAGACTCTGAAAATGTTGTTTTAGAAAAGCTTAAAATACTAGTTCAGCAGAAATCCCTGCCAAAAGGAGCTGAACTTAAATTCTCTCTCTCATGCTTTGACAATTGGGATTTAATTACTATTCCATATTGTTTGGAATTTTGCCTCAAAAAATGCTGCTAGATATTGCAATGTTTTATAGGGTAGTTAGGTAACTGAGTGAATGGGTAGTATACACCCTTCAGTTTAATGCAATAACAATTTTTTAAAAAGGAAATCTTTTTAATAAATATTTTAATTTGATTATTAGTTATTAAATTTCTTGGCAAAATATCAATAGGACAACAATGCAGCCTCTCAATGCATTACATCTATTCAGTAGTATTTAACCAGATCTTATGAAGTGTGTTCTCTCAAAAGGAAAAAAAAGCTACACTTAAGACTGAGATGGAATTTAAATGTTAGTTAAAATATATTTCAATTCATTTATACAGGGGCTAGTAGTATTCAACATGCTGGATTTTATTTCATCAAGTGGAAAAAGCTACAAAACCATTGTATCCTTCATGACATCCCTACATAGTGTTGTGATGATACTATATCACTAAATACAGTTCACAACCTATCATATGCTGGTGCGTTATTATAATGGAAACTGCAATATCCTGTCTGTTTTGTGATACAATTTGCGGTGGCTCTATGAAACTGCTCAAACTTAATCTTTCATCTCGTTTCTTCCCTTCCCCTCTATTCCCAACTGCTTGGAGGCCCAGGAAAAGCTACTGATGATATGCATCTGCCTTTAGTCTCTTGTTGCCAAAGTTTGATAGGTAGGAAAGACACTGAGTTAGATCCAATAAAACTACAGGCAGAATTCAGATGCCTAAATCAAAAGTTGCAGTCTAAAAAAACCCCTTTGCTAGATGTTGCCTAGCTGGGAGAGAGGTGCGAATTAAATAGCTTAATACCCAGATCATGCTTACACCAAACTGGGATTCAAGAGGTAGGTAATTCTCTCTCATCAGTCTGTTAAGCTTGCTCCAAGAATGCAACAATTTCCTCAGGGGACTGAGAAGTTAGCTCCTTACAAAATGCTAGTGTCACTTTTTTTTAAGGAAGTAATGGCAGGATGCTCCTGCTTCATATACAACCAGCCAGTGGCTAGAGTAGCTACTCAAAGCAGGGCAACAACAGTGGGGGCAGTCTTGATACAAGGATGATAGTCTTCTGGTAGATAGGGAAGTCACTGGTGAGCCTGGAGATGACCAAAGAGGCTAATCTGAGAGAAAATGTGGCAAATATCACTAGGATTCAGTGCTTCCTCCTGGAACTGTCAGGTCACAGCTCTTTCCCATTGTCTCTCTCATCAGTCTGCCTTCATAGTGAGATGAGTTTGCTTGAAATTACTGATAGCTTATCGTGTTTCATGGTGCCGCTGGGAACGATTCAACATTTGAGTCTTCCACGCGTTAATGTTGAACCTCATTTCTTCAGATTGACCTTCAAGGTGTTCTTGAATCTTTTCTTTTGCTCAACTCTAAGGCAGTAAACACTGGTGAGGTGGGACTATAAGACCTGTTCCAAGAGCCTTTTGTCAGCCATCCTTAAAAGATATCCTGTCAAATGCAACTGGTGCCATGTAAACCTGGCTTGATGCTGGTGGTGTTCCCTCAAGCCAGAATGCTGGCATTCATTCTTCTGTCCTTCCAACTGATATGGAGAATTTTCCAAAGACATGAAGGTAACACTCCAAGGCTTTCAGGGTTTCTCAAATGCAGTCCAGGTTTCACACCCATTCAACAGGGCAGGGATGACAACAGCCTAGTAGAGATCAGAAGTTTGGTTTGGGCTTGAATTTTTCTGGCTTGGAAAGGAATTTAACCCACTTTCCCATTTCCTAGATAAGTGTTCTAAGCACCTGGTTGTCAAACCAGGTTCCACCACCAACCATTCTTGTAAAAAGCAGTGAGCCCTCCTCAAGTCTTTCAAAAAGGTTCCAGGTGTCTGAACTCAGTAGATAATTCCAGCTTGTGGACCTTAAGTAGATGAAGATGTCTCTGCTGCAAAGTGACATGCTCCAAGTCTCAGAGATGGACAAGACTTTGGACATCTCATGGTACCCAGCATTTCCTATTGCCTACTGAATTTGGGATAGCCTGGGAATAATGCATCCTGCATTTGTGCAAGGGTTTGGACTGGAGGATCCTGTGGTCCTTTCTACGATTCTAGGAGTCTAACACAGGATTCTGGATACTACTTGAGGGAACAGATGGCTGAAAGTTGGGCATTGTAGCCCAATCTCAATCTCACATGCCTGAGAAATCAGTTAGCCAACTGAAGTACCTAACTGTTACGTGACTAAGTCCTTTATTCAATGTAGCCCAACACACCTTTGACTGAAGAGACCCAACATTTGCAAGAGCTGAAATGAAGCAGAAGAGCCCTAGCTATAGTTTGTAACTTACTCTCATCATCCTGTAAATAATTGGGGGCAATTTTTCAGAATACTTCCCAAAATACCCTTTTTTCCTTTCATTAAAGTATTTAGGTTTAAACTAGAAAAGCAGCTGGGGTGTCAAATTCTTGACTACCACAAGGAGTACAAAGAACTAGCAACGTCTATAAAAGAAATAACGTAACCGTATAGAATAAAAGGAAAAACAGGACTTCAAGATCACAAACTGGACAACAGTTCTAAAGGACAAGAGTTAATTGAAATCCTGGCCTGCCTCATGTTAACTGGAGAGTTTATATGAAAATTCCTTACAAGTACCTTGGAAAATTAAGATTAGTTCTGTTCATACATTTAAGGCCAGCTGTACTAAAATAAACATTTTAGCAGTCAACAGGGGAAGCAATGAATATGCAGTGATGAAAAATTAAGTATGTTGACATATTGCATTTTATACGTGTGTTAAAGTCCATACCTGCTTAGAAATTAATGTAGAATCTCTCTCTTTAGAATGTACAGATATGTTGCAGTCATTTAGAAAGTTAAGTGCTTCATCCAATTCCTTTAACAATCTTTCATACAGGCCACTTTTGTCAGTATATGGTCCACAATCTACCACAATTTCACATGGCTGAGAAGTATATCTTCATTGTGAGGTGGTGGAAGGAGGGGGGAAAGAATAGGTCAAATACAGATCTGGAAGTCAAAAAATGTTTTCGACTACAAAGATTATGTACTAAGGAGGTAAAAAAGGGTACAAACAGCTTGCAGATTTAAAAAAAATAAACTCAATGGCAAACAGAAAACGAACATTTTATAATTATACATTTAATCAAAATTAGTAATATTGCCTACCTCAAGTACAGCACTTTTCAGATCTCAAAGTGCTTTAGAAAGAAGGTCAGTATCATTACCATCATGTTACTGATGGGGAAACTGAGGCACAGAGAAGACGTGGCTTGCTCAAGTCAAACTTGCACGCCAAAGGTTATTGGTTACTTTTTTTTTTTTAAATGCACTGTGATTTGTTCTTTTGAGAAACAAATGCAATTTACACACTACGCACAAAGCTAAATATACATTTTTTTATTTTTCAGGGCTAAGTGCTGGCTCTTCAAGAGTGACAGAGCTATATAGGAAGGTGAGCTTCTCCAAAGCGCATATTTCAAGGAAATTCAGATTAAGGGACTTTTCTGAAATGTATCAATGTGACTAAAGCATTTAAATTACCGTTTACTTTAACATGAACATAAAGGTAGATAAAGAAGGTAGTCAGCAGGGCCAAGTGTGCAGTTAATATTAAAACAACAGAAGTATTAATTGATGAATATTTCCCTTGCATTACGAACAAGCAGAGCCTCATTTTTCCTTTATTTTGATAACACGCACAACATTTCTGATTCTGTGTATACTCATCGAAGATGGTCCCTTTTCTGTCATGACATTTCTGAATGGATTTTATCACTTCTCCCACTCCTTCCCTCCTCTTTCTCTCCCTTCTCTTCCCCCTGTCCTGCCAACATAGCAACTATTTTAAAAATATGGAAGACTTCTAGATCTGTAGGATCCCATATTGCAGACACTGTGAAATCCTACCCAACCGACCCTTGGGGCTACAGCAGTTCCTATAATACGCAAGTTATTTTCCAAATATAAGATGCAGTCTGTACTACAAAGGAGTTGCTTTCCCAAGTTTTTTCAAAAGAAGGCTTCACAATTCATTTTAAAATTACGTGAAGACTTGGACAGCTCCTAAATTTAAAAAGGCTTTTGTAATTTACTGCTCAAGAAATGATTCAGTAAAATTTTAATAACGTAGTAGTACTGTATATACAATTTTATAGATGAAACACAGGCATGATATTTAACATCTCAAAACTGTAAAACTGAAATATACCTGTCTAAGACCACCAAATCAGTTGCAGTTTCTGCATTGCTTTTTAGGATTTTCTCCAGTTTCTGAATCTTCTCCTCTAACTCAGCAGGATCACATTTCCCATTTAAAATGGAAGCAGTTAATCCCAAAATTCGAGGACACAATGGACAATTCTCACAAATCTGTGAAAAAAGCGGAACAAGCATAAGACAATTTCACCACCTCTGCATCTTGAGTGTAGCTTTAATGGAGGTATCAAGATACCATTTTGTAAACTAGCATTTCAACACAAGCTGTTAGAAAAATAGTCTAACTCCTTACCAGATATCTTCCTTATAACTGAACTAACTAGCTAAACCTTAAGCTAAATATAAAAAGTTAAACTAAAAAAAAAATTTAAAAATATTATCCTAAACGTTTTAAAAAAGTTAACTTCCGCTATTCTTCCACCACCTACAGACATGAATGGAAACAAAAGCAGGTGGAAGATGTCTTTGCAGCATTATGAAATGCCTTATTCCACACAGAAAAAAATAAAACCTACCGCACAGGCTGTAGCTTGAGGCAGGGAGGAAGAAAGAAAAAAAGATGCAGAGAGAGACTGCACCAGTGTTTAAAAGTTGTCCGATTTAATTCAGGTATTAAAAATAATACAAGACTAAAAATGTCTTGAGAGAGAGAAGAAAAAAAATGCACATACACCTCACTCAAGCACCCTAACCAAGTCACTGGTGAAATTTATTTCATTTTCACAATTAGATTTAGTTTTAAATACACAATACCTTTAACTGCATTACTACACAATTCTAAATTATTTTTCTAATTATCATATGGAACCCTGATGATATACTGATTTTGCTGTCACTTTCACTAGAAATGTTTCACTGAATTAATATTAGAGTGAACTGTGTCCCAAAATACTTTATATACTCGCAATATTGTCTAAGTCTCATTTTTAAACTAGATGGGAATTGCATAAGCTTTATTGTAAGCACACGAGCAATTTAAGATGCAAATGTTCACTTAATCTACAGTACAAATTTTAAATAAAAGTTCTCTTAAACCAAGCAATTTTAATGAGAATGAATGACATGCTTCTTTAGTTTTTTTAAAAAAGGGGCTGCTGTTCTTAACACCCCAGCTTTAATTGGTTACCTCTGGTGCAATTCACAAAGAAAGTCTGGTGTGTCAATCTAGAAAAGCAATACAAACCCTACACCTAACCATGTAGGTAACCGAGTTACTTATATCAGGTTCAGCTACTGTGCATGACATAGGGTGTCATCATATGGGCTCAACTGAACCACTGCATCCCTCACCTAAGGCTCTTTAGGATTCACAATTCAGCAAGTTTATACAAAGTATGCCTAGAAGCCAGAACCATTTCAGTTAAAAAAACAGGACTGGAAGAAAGTGTTGCTGATAGTAATGGGGGGGACTTTTTATATAATAGCCTTGTGATTAGATTACTCAAAAGCCAGGTTTCCCACTTCCTCTCTAATTCCCTCATGAACCTGAGAGGATTCAAACACATTTCCCACCTCTGAGATGGGGCCTCTTTAGCCCTCCTGTTCTAGCTAAACTACTGCATAAAATGCAATGCAAGACACAGGGAGCCACAGAGAGCAAGCAAGCAAGCAGGTAGGAGAACTACTACTCATAATGAACGCATTACTCTGCAAAGGAGAGGTTGTAGGTCCTAGGCCCTGCTTCAAACACTGTACATACATTTGGTATTAAAGATTCATTGGAAAAATATATGCAATGGATCTGGCAGCAAGGATTGAAATCCAGGACTTCTCCCATCCCAGGAGAGTAGCCTCCTTGCTGAGCTACATTCGCACAGATCTTACTTGTACTCTCTGTGGCTCATTTTTGCAAGGAATCATGCATCCCTTTATGCAAAATATCCTAAGTTTCAACAGACAGGAGGTAGGGACTGCCCATGTCCCAAGCGTGCTTACGGATCCAAATCTGGGAGAGGTGCAATGCCTTTCTCCAAGAGATGCACCCTCTCTCTACAGCATTACTTACTGGCTTAGGTATCAACCTGCTCAGTGCGCTCAATATTAGATTCCTAACATTCCCCCCCATTTAAAGTATAGTGTAGTCTGAGTTTATGAATTTAGGTCCACATCCAAGTACTTGATTTTTAGATGTAGTGATGCTGATTGGTGCCACCCTAATTACCTTCAGGAATGTTGTTCTTAAATCCATTTAAAAATTAATACACTGGCACCACAACAATATATATAATTTTGAGCAATAAAGCTCTTGGAATAAATTATTTAACCAATAAACAGAACAGCTCCTTTCTAATTAAAGTAATCAAGAACATATATCAACGTTAAACAAACAAATTTTATGAAAGGCTACGTTTCTGAATAGTTAAAGCTGTGACTATCTGCTGGGTCATAAAATAGTAACCACAATTCAATTATTTCCTTTCTTTTTATAGCAATGCATATAAAAAATGGTTTTAGGCCTAACACTGATTGGCTAGTCAGTTTTTTAGTAGTTAAATTTGCTACCTGTACCTCAATACATGAATTAAAGATGCTAAAGAAAAGACATTTAAATAATAGTAACCTACTTTCATGATTTCTCGATATGGATGGTCCTGGATTGCAAGATGGCATTCATCAAACACAAGAAGGTTAATGTTTGAAAGAGATAAATATTCATTTCTTAAAATAGTCAAAGCAATGTGACACGTCATAACCAGAACCTAAAATAAAGAAAAATGCAGATCATCTTAGCAAAATCATTACAGAAAGAAGGCAAGATCTTTGTTAGACAATATTAGCAGTCACTAAATGCTACTACTCATCAGTGCACACCAATTCGGGACAGGGTGAAACAAAGAACTCGGCACATGACCATGGAATACCTTTTAGCAAGTAGTCCAGCACAAGGTAAAATATGTACCTGACCTCCACCAAATATATGCCTAGCCAAAATTAAAATCAATATAATTGTACCCCACAGTGAAACTGGGGCAGACTCTGGGATTTTTGCCTTCATATGTAGTGAGGGCACGGTCTTCCTTGGACTTCTTGAATGTATTTAGCAACCCCTACAGTGGCAGGACACTAGCAATGACTTCATCCCCCCTGCTTGAACAGTGGCACATCAGGGTGTTTTCTGGTGTCTTTGGGCTACATGCCTTGCAATGGGTAACCAGATTTTTTTTTTTTGTGGTTTTAGGAATAGGTTAGACAGGCACTTTTATGAGATAATTTGGATAGAATTCTTCCTGCCTTGAGCTGGGAGTTGGACTAGATGACACCTGAGGTCCCTTCCAGCTATACTTTGCTATGGTTCTATGACAGTGTTTCTCAACCTGTGGTATGCATACTCCTGGGGCAGGGGGTATGCAAGTGCTGCGTTTTGAGTTTGGCTCCCCACCCATTGGCAGGTTGGAGACATCTTTGCCCGTTTGGGCTGCCGCCCTTCTCACCATGTCTGGCGTGCCAGGGCTTTCACTCCCAGAATCAGTGTGCTGACGGACAGGAAAGGAGGCCCTGAGTAGGCTGCTTTGCCCTGGGACATGGTCCGTGATGAAAAGTGGGACTCTGCTTGTGGCAGCAAAACCAGAAGTTCCATGGTGGGACTTCCAGTTTTGCCGCGTCAATTGGCAGGGGGTACACAAAGCAACCTGACTTGCAGTGGGGGTCTTTTTGGTAGGCATGACACAAAATTAGCCCTGCACCCTCCCTGAGAGCCACAGTTCTACGACCCAGGTGGTAGCATAACTAGGGGAGGGTAAAACTGCACAGGAATTGACCAACACTGCAGAGTTCCCATACCCATGCCAGAAACTCTAAAACAGTCCCCAGCTGCTGCTGCTTTAAAAATCACCACTCAGGGCAGGCAGAGCACATGGTGTTTAGGAGTTCCCAGCTTGGGTAAGACTGTTGCCCACCACACCCCACATCCCAACTCTTGCCCCCCACCACCACTCTCTGAACGTGCCATGCCCCTCTCCCTGAACTGTTATTCCTAATATGTAACCTAAAACTCCTTAATTGCAATTTGTTCCCATTATTTCTCATCCTGTCATAGAATCATAGAAAATTGGAAGTGACCTCAGGAGGTCATCTAGTCCAACCCCCTGCTCAAAGCAGGACCATCCCCAACTAGATCATCTCAGCCAAGGCTTTATCTGGCCAGGTCTTAAAAAACTTCCAAGGATGAAGAATCCACAACCTCTCTGGGTGACCTGTCCGTCATAAGCAGACAGTGCAGTGGGTCATGATCCTCTTTAGGAAGTAAACAGCGTTGGAAAACATTACTGAATAAAAAGTCTTCCAAAGTAAAATGTAAAACTAAACAGCTTTCTTAAACAAGGATTTGTGCTCACCTCAGACACTAGAAAACTGGTTACTTTGGAATCATCAAGAGCATTTACACTACACGCCTGAATGAACCAGACTTGCAGTGGGGGTCTTTTTGGTAGGCATGCCACAAATTAGCCCTGCACCCTCCCTGAGAATCACTGTGACCCCTTTCCCCTAAACAACCTAATGCTCTGCTTTTTGCTCCCTGCCCTATCTGCTGCTGTGCTGCTTGCCCCCTCCCTAAATCACATAGAGGCTGTGTGTACCACAGGGTGGACAAATGTGGACTACTGAATTGACAAGTAAACAAAATATTAAGAAATTATGATTACCCTTCAATTGAGATTTTTCATGTTTTCATCATGACTAAAATTAGCTATAATAATTACATGATTCCCCACTTGGAAAATTCCTTTTCACATCTCATTGTCATCACTCACCATCAATCCTTATGGTAGTGCAACTGAAAAAGTAGAACTGAAAGACCAGTTTTTCCAAGGAAAGACTTAAAAAAAAGTGTCTTTGAATATTTTTTCTTTATAGCTGCATCCAAATGCCACAAATATGCTGAAATTTACAGTGAGCACAAAAGGGACACAGTATTTGGGTTAGGTATAAAGTTTCTTCCCAGGATGTACAGCACTGTAAACTTTTAATTCAAGGAAGCTCATTAAATTCATCTTACCTGATGTTTACAGAATTCTTGATTCCATTTTTCCTTTGTCCATGATTCAGTTATTTCTAAACTTGAATATTCTCCCACCTTGAGATCTGAATGGGTCCTGACGGCAGACACTTGCTGAGCAACTTGATTTGCTTAGGAGGAGGGAAAAAAAAAGGTTTTTTTCTCTCCTTCTTAACTATACAATAGCAGAGGGATTTTACATGATTTAGTCCATGTCACTGTATGCATGACTTTTATAACAACTTATTTAGACAGCATTAAAGTAAACATATAAAGCATGTAATCTGGATGTACCCCTTTTTAAGAAAACAAGTTCAATGACCAGACTCCATAAAACCAAGAAATTAAGACATTAAAAAAATATCAAAGCAAATGGCCTATCGCACATTTCCAAGACCTAACTAAAGTAATAGGGGGGAAAAGGATCACTGATGCCAATCAGAATTAATATGTACAAAGAGCAGAAGGCAACCATCCCACCTTTTATGGCAGCTATGTCTCACTGAATAAATGTATTTTTATTCAGTACTGTTGGTTCAACATGTCAAAAACAAAAGCTAGTCACTTTGCTTCATTTTCAAATGACAATTCTCTTATGGGGAGAAAACCATCCTTACCAGAGTTGACTAAGAACACAGTTCTCTTTCCATTTTTGTTGAAGTCTCCCCTGATCTGATAGGACAGCTCTTTAGTGAGTAGTACTGCAATAAAAGTCTTCCCTGAGCCAGTGTTTAAACAGACTATAGTATTATGATCCAAAGCTGCTTCAAGCAGTTCAACCTAGATTTGAGAATGATAGTCATTATTTGTGCGAGTGAACTAATACAAGATATTGAACAGAAAGCAAAAACATCCACAAGGTGTACGTGTACAAATAGTGACTAAACCAGAAAAAAAAAAATCATTCTACTCCCATAAAATCGCCACTGGCTTTATAGGACAAAAATGTATTTACTATATAACGTATTGACAAATTTCACTCAACTCAGGAAAAGAAGCTATCTGGTTCTAGACAAATTTGGCTTGTAATGTCCTCACTTTGCTACTACTATAAAAACCTTATGAAGTAAATGTTTATCCATTGTAATGATGACCCTGGTTAGGCTGCCTGCAGTAACTGAACCCAGAGTCTCAGCACCCAACAGGATGACTTCTACTTGTTCAGTAAAAACGAAGCCAATTAACTCAATGGCAGCTAAAGGCTCAAACCTTTATGTTCTCTCATGCAGCTAGTTGTGCCCCTCAGGTGGCTTCATTTTGTTAACATGCCTTGTGCACAAACTCCTGTATTAATTCTGTGTTTTGTAATAACTATGCGACTCCAACTACTCCAAAAAAGGGAAAAAAAAAATGAACTCCTGAGACAATATTAAATCACAATAGCTTGATGACCAGGAATTTTAAATAGTTTGGTTTCCCAGGAAATTAAACATCTATTTCAGGACATTTGTTTACAAATACAGCAAGATAAGACACAGTACTATTGTGGCACCCACAGACAGGTTTGTTTTTCTGCAACAACAGCCATTTGATTTGTAATGAATGTCCTGCTCTCCGAGAGGACTTAAGACTAGACGAACATTAAGCAATGTTTCAAACATTAAGAAGACTGAGTACTGAAATGAAAGGCATGCAGTGGGATGGGAGGGGACATGTACCACATCAAAATCAGTTTCATAGAAGTATTTTATAGCCAGGCGATACATTTCATTTCCATTTCCTGTGGACAATAAAATAATATTAGAATTGTCATTAGTACCTGATATTTTCGTGGTGTGTAAATGTTATCATGAATTGCTTCTTGTTGCCATGGTAGTCCAAAAAAAGGACCCATTGGGGAGGAAGCAGGGGTCATGAGCTGCAGTCCTGCCATGCTGAGGGATTGCAAAGCAGGGCTTTCCATTCATTCATCCAGTGTTTCTTTCATTGCATTTTTGTTCCAGCACAGCTTACTAAGAGAAAAAACAGCAAAAAACAAACACACACACTAAAATCATGGATTATAATAAAAGTAATTTCTCCTTTCTGCAGAAGAAAACCTAAAGCAAAAGAAACCTTTCCCAAATAACCTATGTTTTTACAAGGAAAAAAAAGTAGCATCAAGTTCATTCTCTGAACTTGATTTTATTCTGTTAGCATTCCATTTATAATGTCCTCAAATTTATTCAATTATAAGAAGTTTAAACATGGGGGGGTTTTCAGGTCTGCTGTAGGTGAAAAATGTAATTTTGTAATTCTTGTAAAGAATGTGTCTATTACTACACCAACACATTTTCCCCTAACTGAGACCTTTCAAAGTGTTACATAAAAGTCTGAGAGGTCACCTTAATAGCCCCAAAATATCTTGGAATATTCAATAATCCCAATTAAAGTACTCAAATTGTGGAAGACCCAGATCCAACAACCAAAGCAGAACAGCTCTAATAAGAGATATTCCGAATGATTAACATCAGAATAGTCACCAGTTAGTTGGATATGACGTTCATCAGGCAGACCAGGGACTTGAACTTGAGTTTCTCCATACACCACATGATTACCCTACATGATTACCCTAATTCAGTGGTTCTCAAACTTTTTCGAGCCAGGGCACCCCTTCACCTTTTTGAATTTGGTGGCATCCCTGGTTGAGAACCACTGTTGTACTGCCTCTGCTTACCTCAGTGGTTCTCCCCGGGGTACTGCCATGAGCACCTACCTGTATTAGGGTTTTCTGATAAACCTAAAGCAGCCATGGGAGGCAGGAGAGGCATTTCACCCTGGCTGTGGTGGCACTCATTTCACTGCATCCCTGGAAGGTTCTCGCAGGACCCCAGGGGGCCATAGCACCACTACCCTAGCTACTGTTTGTCAAGTTTGGGGTGTGGGGCCTCTTTCTTAAAAAAAAGAACAACAACAACCCTTTTTCAAATAAAAGTTCTCTCAAATCTAAAACATATTCTTATAAGAAATTACAGGTTTCAGCCAACTGACAATTTCCAACAAAAAAAACCAAAACATCTAGTCAGACATTCCAACCAGCATTACATACATTTTCTTTGAGCAGGACCAAAAATATTGAAGAAAAGATTAAATGGAGCAGGACAAAAAAAAAGCGGAGGGAATTAGAAGAGAGAGAGAGTTTTAGAAGATCAGTACTAAATATATGAAAGATTAAATGGAGCAGGACAAAAAAAAAAAAGTGTGCATGTATGTGTGTGGGCGGCGATGTTTTCCTAGTTTCCACCTATTTACAGAAAGGTAGGGAAGGGAAAGGAGGGGGGCAGGAAGCCAACAGTAAGCAAGGGAGAGACTACCCTAGTAGTTTTCCAAGGTAGAAAAGAGGCTGTCTGTGACAATGTAAATAACTGGAAATTAGGAAGACACAGGTAGAAAAGGAGGAGAGGGGAAGAAGAGGGGGAAAAAGAAATGTAAGAGGTCAGGCCTGGCAGGTACCTGGTGAATCAGATGGTCAGGCAGGTTGCAATGTGTCATAAATCCAATGTCTATATTGAGACCATGATTTTTTTTGTATCCAGTAGATTTATGAATCGAAGTTTGTCGGCTGTTTTGTAAGTTCCCTTTCACGATTAGAACTGAGAGATTAGAGAGGGAGTGATTGTCTTGTGAGAAGTATATCAATAAAACATGTTCAACTGATACCTATACATATAGCGGCATCTCATCTTAATTGTGAAAAAAATGTGGATTTGGGGGTTTTATAATAATTGGAGACTTTGGGATTTTTAAACAGAGAAAACCAGAATCCCTGTATCATCAGGAAAGAGCCAGGTGGGCAGGGACCAGAAGAGTAGGGCAGCGGCACTCCTGGAGCTCTTGGCACATGGGGAGAGGTGGTGGCCACCCTTGGCCCCTGTGCTTAGACAGCTCAAGCAGGACCCACTGCCACTGGGCTGGGCCTCAAATATTTTCCCCCTTTCCCCACTCTGGGCTTTGGGTAGGGGTTTATTTAGGTGACCTGTTATCTCCCTTAAGCCCACTTTGGCACCTGCAAGTGAGCACAGCTAATTGCATAATCATTAGGCTGCTCACTGTTTTCCTCTTTAACCCATCTCTCCTCTGCCCCTCTACCTTCCTCTCTTTCTCCCCTGTCCAATAACAGAGGTAAGAGTTCCCTGTTACAGTCCCCTTTATATAAGTTTTGATTATTATCAATGGAATATTTTTTCATTGGTCTGTAAGTGTGAGGTGAAATCGCTATTTATTGATAACTATTCAATTCTTAGCATTAACTTAGTAATTTATAGAGTATTCAAAATGCTGTATTTGTTAAAAGCAAGCACTGCAGCATAATGTGGGGAGAAGGAAGGCGGAATGAATCTCAAGTATATCAATTAGCATTTTGATAATTATGTGAGATGAAACGGCACTGCCATGCTTTTATAACCCATTTTTGAGGTTCCCGATACACAGGTTTGATTTTAAGGAGCATGTGTTTTCTGACATTTATTTTTATATATTTAGTATTGATCTTCTAAAACTCTCTCTTCTAATTCACTCTTATGAAACGAAAACTTTTTTTGACATTTTATAAGAATGTACAGAAAATCAAGAGCTTTGCTTGCTGTAGAAAAAATTGTCTTTGTACTCATTTTTTTTCTTTTATCCTGCCCTCCAGCTAGGCCCCAAGGACACATTCCCGCCCAGGCCCTGGGCAGCACCCCCAGTCCCAGCCCCACTCTATTCCCTCCCTCACCATGGCCGCCACTGCCTCAGTCTGACCCCACCCCACCCCCTCACATTGCCTATGCCCCCCACTCCATGTCACCTATGCCCACATGCACGTGGCGACCCCTGCATCTTGCTCCCACCCCAGTGCTAAACAGCCCCTTGCAGACTGGGACTCTGCTAGCCTGCAAGGAGAAACCCATGATTTCCCACATTTTTTATCCTTTAAAAAGGAGGAAATTCGCATTCTGTTTCCTGTGGGGAAAAAACCTGGATCCCTGCTGATGAATAAGCGTAATGATTTAAAGCAGGTATGATTTACTGATTCATGGATATTTACTTTTTACATTTTGACTTCTGATTTTATAAAGCTTTTACCAGTATAGTGTTATTACTAAATTGTCTGCCCCCGCACCACTAATTTTGTGCAACCCTGAAAATTTAAACTGATAAAAATTGGAAGACACTCCAACTTTGCACAATCCTGAAAATTTAAAATCAATAAAAATCAAAAGAAATGCCTAAAAATAAACATTGTTGATTTTGGCCATCAAAATTAAGAGTGGAATTATGCCTAATTATAATGACTTGGGGCTCCCTCTAAACATTATAGTTAATTCAGGACTGTCAAATTTCTTGGTGGTCTGGGGATGCACCAGCAGGGGCCATGATCCCCACCCCGCCTTTCTGGGCTAAAAACTCCCACCTGTCTCCACTCGCATAGGAAGCTCCTCTCCCAACTGCGGCACTGTGTGCACAGGTGGGTGGCCCTCTCCTCACCTGCAGGCTCCCCTGCTGCAGTGCCACAGGCTACCTCAGCACTGCAGGCTTTGATGCATCTTGCTACCCTGCTCTACCCCACCCCCTGCAATGAGAAAGGGAGCTGAAGCCTGGAAGCCCTGGATGAAGCAGCAGCTGGAGTGATTATGGGAGTAACACCAAGAGGGAACCTCTCATGGGTCACCAGTTGAACAGCCCTGGGTTAATTAAATGATGTGTTTCACATCCTGCTCCAAGTTTTCAGATCAATTCTCTTGGGCCCTCTTTCAGGACCTTAATCAAACGGCTGTCCTATAGAACAAACTGAGTGGGATTTATTTGTATAGCTTAACATGATTTGTGGGTGTATACAGGCATAGCCCAAATGCATCAAGAACACAAGCAAGCACAGAGCTTTAGCTCAATTTTGTTGAGAAATAATATACAGACTTCACACCAGAGGGGGAACTTGGTTCTGTTGTCAGCTACACCTTGATATATGACATGAAAGGCCCTGCTCAATAGCAGACTGTGAAACACACAAGGATAGGAACCACTCTGTGGAAGAAGGGAGATTTGGGCTTGTGGTCTCTTAGCTTCTAATTCAAAGCCAAAAAGCAATTTTAATTGAAAGATCACATACACACACGATCAACTATAGGTCAGTACTGTTAACATTTGATGACACTAACTTCAGCAAGTTCAAATGATCAGGGTTTGAAAAGAAAGACAGCATAACTCTGGAAAGATAAAGTGTGGTTCAAAATGAGGTAGGAGTGGAGCCAAGGACTCTCTACCTTGAGTTGACTATGTTCTCTGCATGAAAAACCCTCATTGAGATTCATAAAGAAGACTTGCTAAAAATTTCTGACCTTTAAGTTCTCTTTAAAAGTCAATTGCCAATGACCAAGATGCTTTCAAAATTGACAGACTCTTCACAGAGTGCTCTCCCTTTTTCTTTTAGCACAAGGGTCTCTTACATACAGCCCACAGAACTCCTCACAGGCTAGCCCAGCCATCTCTACAGGTCAGATTCAGCCTGCAGGGGCTCATCACTGCAGCCACTTGAGCCCCGTCAGAGGTGGTGTTGATCCCAAGTTTCAGCACAACTCCAGAATCCAGGGAGTAGATGCTACTCGCCCCCTGCCACTTCCACCACTAAAATCAAGAGGCATTTGTACACACATTCACACCAAAGCACCCAGCGCTGCAGCACATGGAGTTAAGTGGCAAAATGCACATCAGTGCTGAGAAAATGGCGGCAGCGCACTTTTGAACTCAAACACAAAGGTGTTTGAGTTCAAAAGTGCACTTCCACCATTTTCTATGCGCTGACATGCATTTCACTGCTCATACGCTGCACGTGATGCAGCGCAGTATGCATCAGCTCACATGGGAAGCAGACTTGATTGAGTCTGCTCTGAGGTGCTGGATCTCCAGCACATCCTGGCACAAAAATGTGTGTGTATAAATGCCCAAAGTTTTCAGTTGTCCCTGGCAGAACAAGCAGCAGGCTTAACTCCCTGGA